CCTACTGACATTTCATGCCTCTTTGGCTATCAGTTACCCTTTCCTCATCCCAGAGGTGAATATTTTGCTTCCACTGGATCTACATGGAGCTGACTGCCAGATGGACCCTTGGCAGCCTTTGGACATTTGTGGCCTTCTCTTGAATATTTCTCAGTATTTTTCCTTTTTTTAGGGGATGCTGCTAATTAATTCACTGCAGAATTAGTCTGTTCACTCCGACAGGACATGCCAGAAGACAGCTCTTCATTCATTGCCCCGTCAGACAAACACAGGAGAGCAGAACTTACTTCCGCTTCAATTTCATCGTATAGGAACTGCTTTTTAAACTTGGTCAGGGCGTAGTATGCGCTGTCATTGTACAGGTCCAAGGGATACAGCACATACCTGAGGGGAAGAGCATAGATCACGTTAGTCACAGACCCATGAAGTTCATGGCCAGAAGGGAACACCCGCTCATCCAGTGTGACCACCCAGAGGGCACCACCATCGCCCAGCAGCCAACAGCTGCAGTGAAACCAAATAGTGGTCACAGGAGACTAGACTATGATATGCCACAGCCAGACAACAAGGGGAAGGATGAAGTGAGACAAACCCAGATAATCCCGGCAAGCAACTCACTAGTCACAGAGGAAAGCAAAAAACCCCCAAAGTCATTGCAAATCAGATCTTGGGCGAAATTCCTGCCTGCCCCCTGCATATGGCGATGACTGGGACACTCCTGCATAGTGCATCAGAACAAGGAGGCTGTGTCTACATTGGCATCCTTTTCCGTAAAAGGGATGATAATGAGACACTTCGGAATTGCAAATGCCGCGGGGGATTTAAATATCCCCTGCGGCATTTGCATGAACATGGCTGCCGCTTTTTTCCGGCTCGGGGTTTTGCTGGAGAAAAGCGCCAGTCTAGACAGGATCTTGCGGAAAATAAGCCCTTTTCCGAATAAGGGATCTTTCAGAAAAGGGTGCCAATGTAGACACAGCCGGAATGTGTCCCATTTGCAGCCAATGTTCCTCTATTTTTTCCTCATCCATGTGCAGAATATTTTTGTTGTGTGCACTGAGGCATGTGCAGATGTGCACCACCCGGAGAAACACCTGCTGCCGGCTGTGAGCATTGTACTGATCAGCTGGGTAGTATTTGACTCTTCCCCCAGTTGGCTGCGCAAGCACTGGGCTTGCAGGGGACACTGGTTTGCAACTACTCCAGCCCAGCAATGGTTGTTGGAATGGAGAATTCTCCAACCTCAGGTCTTTCAGCTTCACTTATTCCAGTTCCTGAAACTACCCCCCACAGCCTCTAGGTCACAGCTGCTGGAACTTGCTAGAGAACAGCCAGTTTGCTGCTAGCGGAGGGTCCCCCGCACCCCCATCCATGCCAGGCAATTCCTTGTCTGCCTGTCCTTTAAGAAACTTCTGTGCTTCTCTAGCTTTGCAAGGGACCTTGCATGGAAAACAATTGCCTTCTAAGGATGCAGTTATAACACATAGCGCATGGCATGAGCGTTACGATCACTTATTGCTGGTTCTACCACAGTGCCTGGGAACTCCCGTGCTGGGCACTGCACAGAGAGAACCAAAGGACACAGCTGTATCACAACGTCCCAGAGACGCTCCAACACTGACTATGATCCTCTTATAAAACTTCCGCCCCCTGGGATAGATCCCTGAGGGCCTGCGAATGAACCCGCTCACAGCCCCCCCTCGGCTCTTACTCCATCATGGAGGGCTCCTTGGTTTCCAGGATGTGGTCCGTGAGAATCCAGGGCATGGACATCTCGATGGGGAACTGGATGCGACGGCCCATGGTCAGCTCCAGAAAGAATTCCCGGAACCAGAGCTGGGACAAGTCGCAGCACTGCTGCAGGGCTTCTGGAACGACACAGGGTGTTCCCCCCGCACCGGGAGGGCACCAAATTTACTGTCTGCGAGAGAGCCGGGAGAATCTTACAGCAAGGGGCAGGCCCTGTCGCCTTTACTTGAAATGCGGTTTAGCTATTCTAGTCCATCACAGTTCTCAAACCATGGTACCCGGGCATCTTAGGGGAGGGAGAAAGGATTCTTAGCCTCACTTTCTATCTGGGGCAGCAAGGCTCAGGGAGATCAAGTAACTTGACCAAGGTCACACAATGAGTGTGTGTCAGAGCCAGGAAAAGCACCCAGAGCCTTCCGCAGAAGGCCTCCCCTGGTTGCTAGTGTTCTAGCTCTCATCATCTCTGAAGGGATGCCAGGGTCTGGTAACATGCTTGAAATCAGACCCAAGGGCCAACCCTTGAATCCAAGGGAGATCTGCTGGGTAGGCCGCTTTCGAGCCAGACGGCCCCCCACGCCAGGCAGCATGGGCAGGGCGCAAGTCTGTCTGTGTCAGAGCCTCACCGCTGATGTTGAGGAGGTGAGTGAAGAAGAAGGACTGCTTGTGAAACTCCTCGATGGCCAGGACTATCGGCCCATCCAAGCTGCTCCTCAGGGTCTTCTTCGAGCCGCTCTTGTCTGCGATGAGCGACTCCAGCATGGTCCGCACCATGTAAAGCTTTAAAAAAAACACATCAGCGTCTTGACAAGATGCAGCAGCACCTGGGTCTTCTACAGGGAACTGCTCCACTCCCGTCCTGAGGAGTTCCCACCCAGTGACTGGATCCTGTAGGCTGCTTCCATTTTTAATGAGAGGCCCACAAAGAAGATGGCTCTAGCATGTTCTGCAGGACTAACGATGCACCAACGGCTGCAATGGGAGCCTTCTGCATGCAAGGACTTGCATGCAGAAGAGTCCAGGGACCAACAGCTAATCCCGAGTGGGATGACTTCCTGGCCCCGGGACTTCCTGGAGCAGGGAGAGGGTTTACGTACCTGCGTGCTCGATGGCCCCACCGCGCGTCGAGGGACCTTAATATCGAATCCGCCTTTGGGGTCCTTCTCGCCTCTCAGGCAGGGGTCGTTCGGGGGCTCCCGGCCTCCCTCCCAGTCACAGATCGTCTTCCGGATTGCCTGAAGGACACTGGGACGGTAAAAGCAAAGCGTTCGCGCTGGCCCGTAACAGAAGGAGAAAAGACCCAACGCCGTGCTCCCGGGAGGCAGGAAAACACACGGTGCATGGACACGCAGTGACATGGCTGCTCGCCCCGGCTAGTCTGGGGAGGGCTGCTCCCCAGGGGTTACAGGCCACAAGAGGCTGAGCAGCTCACCCTGGTTAGCTACGGGCATGCGGTTCCCGAAGGGTGGGTAAAACGTGCAGATCGGCTCTGGCTGTGGCTACGGGAGAGCTGCTCACACCGAGGGTCACCCACAGGGGCTGGGCTGCCGACAGGAACACACTGCATAGGGACTCGCCCTAAGTTAGGTTTTGGGCCCCACCTGATCAGAACGTTTTTCTTCTTCCGGACGGCTTGTCTCAGTGGCTCCCGGAGGGTCACCTGAGCAAAGTCCTGCAGGGCTGCATAGATAGTGTTCCTGATGGCCTGGTTAAAGACACTCTCCGGTCACCCACAGGGGCTGGGCTGCCGACAGGAACACACTGCATAGGGACTCGCCCTAAGTTAGGTTTTGGGCCCCACCTGATCAGAACGTTTTTCTTCTTCCGGACGGCTTGTCTCAGTGGCTCCCGGAGGGTCACCTGAGCAAAGTCCTGCAGGGCTGCATAGATAGTGTTCCTGATGGCCTGGTTAAAGACACTCTCCATCCGCCCCATCAGCACTTGCAGACCCTTGATCATGGCAATTACCTGGGGAAAAGGGACAAAGTTGGATACGTTCCCTTATAGAGAGACAATGCCAGTGATTGAGGAAGGAGTATTCTCTCTGTTTTACAGCAGGCCCTGGGAAGGGAGTTAGCTGCCCAACACCTGTTGAAAGTTAGCACGCGGCTGGGTGTCTTATTCCCCTAGACTGCTCTGAAACCCCCAGGTTAAGTGATTTGCCCAAGGTCACACAGGAAGTGTACAGCAGAGTAGGGAACTGAACCCAGAAATCCAGCCCACTGACTTTGCCACGAGACCACCCTTCCATCAGACGGCTGCCCATCCCTTTGGGCAAAATGAGCCACTTACCTCCACAAAGGCAAACTTCTCCTCGCTGGTGTAGTTGTACCGGGTGGCTCTCTCATACTCCTCAGCGGTGCCCGGGCAATCTTTGTTACAGAACTTATCGGTGGGGTGTACCAGCTTCCAGGAATACTGGAAGGAGAAAACAAAACCAGTGATCTCACAGGAGCCCAGCGGAGCAGGCGGAAACATGCATGGTCTGAGGAGGGCTTTCCATCCGCTTAGAAAAACACTCCCTCGCCTCCTCTGCCGTTGTTTATAAACAAACTTCCTTTGGGAAGCTTGAAAGCCAGCTGTGTCTAGATCTTATTCCACTGCGCTGGGCGAGCACTTTGCTTTCTTTATTGTAGGACTGCAAGCGAGTTCTGGGCCACTGGCATTCGGCTCTTCTACTTTTCTAACATCGAGCTGACTCTTAACGCTTATTCCTGGATTTCTCAGCACAACAACGACCAGCATCTCCCCCTGCTCTCCGTTCAATAAGCCATGGGGAAAAAAAAAGTCAAATTGCAAAATGTCAATGAAATGTCAGTGAAAATTCTTTCAATAAAAGTTGGCTAAATGTTTACATTTCTCATTGATCATGGACAGAGTCCCAGCAAGCACCTGGAGCGGTGGGATGTTACTTACTCACCACTTCCATGACATGGGCGCTCCACTTGGAAAGCAGCTGCAGCCCCCGTAAAGCCAAGTCAAAGAGCTCTCTGTATTCCTCATCTGACTTCTGGCTGTCCAGCCCCGAGCCAGTGACCACCTGTTGATTGCCACACAGGGCCACAGTTAAAGTCATAAACCCAATGCCAGGCTCTTCTATCAACCACGGAACGAGATCTCTAGCACCCCGGATTGCCGGCTGAAATGCATTTCATGGGGTTTTAGAAGCGGAGCCGAAAATGCAGCAGGCAACGTATCCCCGGCTCCGTGAAAAGCAAATGGTACAATCCTAGCTCGACAGGACGCTGAGTACGCCCACAAGCAGCGTATTTCCTGCAGGCCTGAATCTCAGTGTGTCTATCCGACAGCATAAGAAAAAAATACAACTCCCCTCTCATCATCCCAGTGCCTGAGATGCCCTTACGATAAGCCAGCTCTTTGGGAGCCCCTTTATTGGGATTTAATTGACAACAGAAAAACACCCGCACCCAAAGGTCTAGGCACCCTACCCATCAGATAACCACCCGCGCCGACCCTGCACCAATAATAGTCACAGGCAGAGACGAACGGACTCGTTCAGCCAGAACAGCACGACAGGCCCTTTAGTCTCTCCCAGAAATCTTCCGCCAAAGCCCCGGCCGATATCAGATTTGTTTCAGCTTAAACGATAAAAGAAAAACACCCGCACCCAAAGGTCTAGGCACCCTACCCATCAGATAACCACCCGCGCCGACCCTGCACCAATAATAGTCACAGGCAGAGACGAACGGACTCGTTCAGCCAGAACAGCACGACAGGCCCTTTAGTCTCTCCCAGAAATCTTCCGCCAAAGCCCCGGCCGATATCAGATTTGTTTCAGCTTAAACGATAAAAGGGCTCCAGCACGAAGCTCTAGGTCGGGGCAGGCAAGAGTCCGCCCGTGGGCCAAATCTGGCCCATGAAGCCTTTGGATCCGGCCCAAGGCTCTTCCTGCTGGGACTCTCAAGCAGGCTCCCTGG